CCTCCAAATTCCATGCTCTTTTTTTATTTAAAAATTGTTAAGTTACAGTTGACATACAATATTACATTAGTTTCTGATGTACAGCCTAGTGATAAGACATTTATATGACTTACAAAGTGATCACCCCCATAAGTCTAGTACCCATCTAACACCACACATAGTTATAATATTATTGACTATATTCCCTATGCTGTACTTTACATCCTGTGAGTATTTTTATAACCAGCAATTTGTACTTCTAAATCCTTTCACTTTTTTTAGTCCTCTCCCCAACCCCCTCCCATCAGGCAACCATCAATTTGTTCTCTGTATCTATAAGTTTGTTTCTGGGGTTTTTTTGTTCATTTATTTTGTCAAAAATGGCAAGATTTCATTCTTTTTTATGACTAATAGTGGTCAATAAATCTAGGACAAAGAAGGCAAAAATATACAACACGGTAAAGACAGTCTATAAAATAAATGTTGTCAGTAAAATGACAGATACATGCAAAATAATGAAACTGGATCACTTTCTTACACCATATACAAGAGTAAACTCAAAATGGATTAAAGACTTAAATGTAAGACCTGAAATCATAAAACTCCTAGAAGAAAACTCTAGCAGTAAACTCTGTGACACTGCTCTTAGCAATATCTTTTTGCATATATCCTCCTCAGGGAAGGGAAACAAAAGAAAAATAAACAAATGGGACTATATCAAACCCCTTCATGTTGGGGAACCCTAGGACTTAGTACTCAGAACTCTTTATTTCTGGGCCTACATACACTCCCTTGGTCATCTCATCTCTTTAAATATTCTGTGCTAACAGCTCTCAAATTCAAATCTCCAGATTGGATTGCCCTTGAATTCTGCATTTCCAGTTGCCTACTCAACATCTCCATTTGTCTCTAATCAAATTCATAATTTCCATTTCACCCCACACCCACCATCAAAAAAAACCAAAACAACACAAAACCAAAACAAATGATTTCTCCTATAGCCTTCCTGATCCCAGGTGATAGCAACTGCCTTCTTCTAGTAGTTCAGGCCAAAATAATCTTGTACTCTTTCTTGCAAATCCCACATCACTGATCTTATTGGATCTACCTTTAAAATATATTCACTGAGAGCACCAGAAGGACCAGATGACCTCTTTCCATCTTCACTGCTACCACCCTGGCCCAAGACATTTCCATTATTTACTTGTATTGGAATAGCCTCACAATTGGTCCATCTTTTCTCTCTATAGTTTACTTTCTACACAGCAGCTAGAGTTATCCTTTTAAACAAGGGGAAACTTTAATCCCCCCACTCAGATTTCTCCAGGATAAAAGCTGAGTCTTTAGATTGGCCTATGAATCCCTACATGACCTGGCCCCTTGCTATTCTTTTTTTATAAAATTTTTTTATTTATTTAAGAGAGGAAGGAGGAGGGAGAGAGAGATAGAAACATCAATGATGATAGAGAATCATTGATCAGCTGCTTCCTGCACACCCCCTATTGGGGATTGAGCCCACAACCTGGTCATGTGCCCTGACCAGGAATAGAATCACGATCTCCTGTTCATAGGTCGATGCTCAACCACTGAGCTACACCAGCTGGGCCCCTTGCTTTTCTTTTGATCTCATCTGCTGCCACAGTTCCTCTTTCTTCCTTTATTCCGTGCTCCCTTTGTGGCTATTCCTTGAATACACCAGGCCCATCTTTCTCAGGATCTTTGTGTTTACTATTTCCCCTGACTGGGACACTCTTTTCCCCACTGTCCGTATAGCTCATTCTCCAGGTCTCTATTCAAATTTTACCTCACAAGGGAGGCCTTCCCTGACCACCCCATATAAAGTGATACCTCAATCATTCCCAACTCCTTTACTCTGCTTGTTTTTTTTCACTTAACACTTATTTGCCTTCTGTCAATATCATTTATTAGTTGTTTATGCATTTGATTTCTATCTCCCTCCATAGGACTTTCTTTAGTTGACTGCCGTGTTGAGGCTAAGAAAAAGGAAGAAGATTTTATGTAGTGGCTATGAGGAATAGGAGATTGATCCTGCAGAACACATAGCATGGTTTTTAAGTAGTGATGAAACATCTCAGTTTGGAACCACAACAATGACATACCCTCTCCCTTCGCTTTGGGGTTGCAAGAAAGATCACAATAGGGCAGAGAGCTGCTGTGAGGAGAAAGGAATCCCAGGCTCCAGGTTCAGAGTCTATGCTTTACCTAATGACCCATCTCTCTTCAGCTGCTTGCCCACCACGACTGAACCCATCTGACCCCAGCTCCTTCCCTAGGGGACTTTAGCAGCAGCAAGGACTTTATCCACAGAGTATCAGGATGGGTTCTTAGAAAGCAGACTCTGAAATGGAGATTAGCATGCAAGAAGTTTATTAGAAATGTTCTTAGGTTCAATGCCAGGAGAAGAAAAAGGAAGGAAATAGGACTGGGCAGGAGAAGATGGGCCACAATACAGTCTCAACAAAGGACCTGGCTAACCCTGTGGGGGGCCATGATTGGCCCGTCTTACCCAAGCACTGATCAATCATTGGATGTGGGTCTCCTGGGAAGGGGGAATGATACAATCCAGTTTACTTTCTTTAGCAGAGGCAATTTCCAATGAAGACTTCCAGCTGAGAGATGTCTTTCTGTGGTACTTCTAGCAGCGAGGGGAGTAAGTCCTTCAGTCATGAAGGGGATCCCAGCACCACAGTATCCATCATAGTAATACATCTTTAGTTAGCCCTTATTCCATGCCTGGCTCAGGGTCTCCCTCAACCTCAGTTGGTGGGGGAGGGGGGAGCTTAGAAGCTTCAGGAACTTACTTGAGGCACCTGGGTACAGGTATTATAAACCTGCATAGAAGTCAGAAGCCTTGGGTTCTAATGCCAGGTCAGCTACTAATTCACTATGTGACAGGCAAGTCTCTGGCCTCTCTCAGCCTCAGTTTCCCCATCTGTACATGAGGGTTAAGCTGAGGTCCTTATCCAATAGTCCATGGCTTTATGATGCCTAAAAATCATGGATTGTGAAGAGTGAAGCCTGCCTTTGCCTCAGTCTTGGATCTCAAAGGCCCCACCCATCACCCCAGCCCTCTCAGTTTGAGAGCTGTCAGGCTCCGGTCTTTATGGCCAGGGGTCACAAGCTGAATAATCAAAATATAAGGTCAAGGATAGATTTATGATAGAGTGAGCATTCATGCTCCTTTCAACTCCCTCGACTCTTCTCAGAATGGATTTTAGCTCTTCCCAGAAGCATTATGGCCTCTGGCCCTACACAGAGACATCACTGAATATGTTATGGGCAAAATTCTTGGAGGTCATTCCGTTTATTACTGTTTTCTGGCATCATAGGCCACACAGAGACACCCCTATCTCCCAGAGACTTATAAGTGCACATTACTCATTAGCAGCCTCTGGAAGCTTCAGGGCCTTTGAAAGGCCAGAGGACGAGTAATTTAGAATTCTACTTTTGCCTTGGAAATAGTAAGAGATTCTTAAATTATGCCCCAATCCATATGCCCACCCTCTGCCATCAGGTTTACATTTCTCGGGATAGTCCTATGTTCACCTAGCTCAGCTGCTCATTATGGGAATTGCTTTTGTTCATGTTTATGCTTTTTTTCTAAGAAGAAGCAGACTTCATTACTTAGCTCAATACTTTTCTCTTTGACTACTCATGACCAGAGTGAAATTGGGAAGAATGTGGTGCGACCACCCACATTTCTGAAGTAATGTACTATGTAAAGAAGCCAGACATGGTTAGGCCTGATCTTGGGAGGGATAGCCCATGGGAGGCAGAAAGGCCCTCAGGTACTTGTTAGTCCAGCCGCTCCCATCTTACAGATCGGAAAACTGGGACAAAGGAGGATGGGACCCCAGCTTCTTACTAAGTATGAGATCCTTCAGAAGAGAAGGAAGGCTTTCATATCATAGTCTTGCATTTGAAATGACTTTTAAAAAATAAATATATAACAGAAATTTAGAAATAAGATAAAGAACCATTAACAGACCAGAATATTGGGGAATTTCTAGAGATGGAAAGCAAATGGGGGTGTCAGATTCCTATCTTGATCCTGAAATAATTGAACTACAGATTCCCTTCCCCAAACTCAACCTTGGAGACATTGTACACATGAGAGAGAGGTAATGCATCCCAGAACTTAATCCCCGGGGAAACCAGAAGCCGGACAGTTCCCAGTTTAGATGAATATTGCAGCATAGAGATGGAGAGAGTTGGCTATCAAGAGTGAATGAGGCCCAGCCACAGTGGCTCAGTGGTTGAGCGTCGACCTATGAACCAGGAGGTCACGGTTCAATTCCAGGTCAGGGCACACGCCTAGGTTGCGGGCTCAATCCCTGATTGTGCAGGAGGCGGCTGATCAATGATTCTTTCTCATCATTGATGCTATCTTTCTATCCCTCTCCCTCTCTGAAATCAAGCAATATATATATAAATATATATATATATTCTTTTAAAGGGTGAATGAGGAGCACACTTTCTCTTTCCACTAAAGACTGAGGAATGCATTTTTCAGGCTGAGCTGAAACACTGAGGAAGTCTCAAAGGAGCAGAGCAGAATGGACCAGCACAGGCCAGAGCAGACTGGCACAGGATGGGATAGACCAGGCCAGAGCAGAGTGGACAGGCAGCAGGACCAACGCAGAGCAGAGCTGTCTAGCTGGAGGGGGGCCTGGCTCCAGTGTTGCCTCACAATGTGCTGTTTTCACAGTCGTGCTGTATGACAATTGAGCTGTTCCACAGCTGTGCTATATCACAGAGCTCTGTTGCACTGAATAAAATTTCCTTCTTTACCGCACCCCAAATTGGTGGTTCCTGTTGGTGTTGAATTGGCACCAATGACCATCAGTTGACAAGAGTTATTTGTGAATATTTCCTCAGGAATAAATGAACCTGTTTATTTCAAAATGGCTTTGGGGTACAGAAGCCACCCTAAGACCTGGCTGACTTACAAAGAAATTGGAAGAGCTTGTGCTCTGCCCTGTCTGGCCCTCATCACTCACCACTGGGGCACAGCTCCACCTCCATCTCCACCAGGGAAGGAATTGCAACAGGGTTTGGCAGCTTTGGTGGTGGGGGTGAGGCTACCTGGGATCTCATCCCAGTTCGGGCCCTGCCTGCACAAGCAATAGAGCCCCTTCTGCTCTGGGCCTCAGTTTCCCTATCTGTATCAGGAGAAGGTTAAGCCAGAGCCTGTATGTGTCCCTGCTATGAGCCAGGGAGGACTAGCATCAGCTGAAAGGCAGACAGCCCCGAGTCCCTGAGCTAACTGGTCTGGAGCTCCCCTTCCAGGGGACCCACCTGCTGAGAGCTGCGTCCCCCAGCACTCCCAACATGCTGTTCTTGCATTTCCAGTTCACCCAAGTGCCTTGCAGAGCTGCAGAACTGGAAGAGGTTGGGCTTCAGGAGTCACAAGCTAAAATGTGTTGCATCTTCTTAGAAGGTCAAAACTGAGAGTGTGGCCTCTGAAAACAGACATACTTGGATTTGAAGTGCAGCTCTGTTACTTCCTATCTGCGTGCCTGCAGCTTGATCTAAACTGTCAGTCTCAGCTTCCTCATCTGTAAATGGGGATAATGACAGTGCCTAAGTCATAAGGTTATAATGAGGATTAAATGACATAATGCAAATAAAGTGCTAACTCCTTAGTAGGTGTCCTGTTATAATGTTTAATATGTGGATGTGAGTGAATATATGCATATATTTAAAAATGAATACAGATACTTTTAGAACAGTGGTTCTCAACCTTCCTAATGCTTCGACCCTTTAATACAGTTCCTCATGTTGTGGTGACCCCCAATTTCATTGTTACAAATTGAACATAATTAAAGCATAGTGATTAATCACAAAACAATATGTAATTATACATGTGTTTTCCGATGGTCTTAGGCCACCCCTGTGAAAGGGTCGTTCGACCCCCAAAGGGGTCGCGACCCACAGGTTGAGAACCGCTGTTCTAGACACTGTTATAAGCATGTATATACAGGGTGGGACAAAAGTAGGTTTACAGTTGTTCACATGGAAAATAATACTATAATTAATAAATAATAAAACAAGAATAAACTCTGTTTCCCATACTCACAACTGTAAACCTACTTTGCCAGTCTCCTACTTTATGTATTGAAGATATGTATTGTTATATTAACACTTGTATGTTAATATACAAATACATGGTTTGTTTACAAAATAGTACATGTGTTCTTCTACAACCTGCTTTTCCCCTTCACAATATGTTTTTGCAGATAGGCTTCATTTCTTTTACATGTATCTATTCCTTTAAAAAAACCAAACTGCTGTGAAGTGTTCTACAATGTGTCAGTTTAACCGCCCACTGTTGAGGAACATTTAGTTTGGTCCTTCTTTTTCTTTTCTTGTTATGGCAATACAGCAATAAATATCTTAGATATATATTTTTTTATTTCTTTATTTTTCTTACGACTACAGGAGAATTGAACAAGAAAACTCTTTCTAGAGAACTTTAACAAGAAGAGTTTCATCTTTTTTAAAAAATAATTCTTATTGTTGAAAGTATTACAGATGTCCCCCTTTTTCCCTCATTGGCCCCCTCCAGCTCCCCGAGCCCCTCCTTCCCCTGCCCCAGGCTCTCACCACCCCATTGTCTGTGGCCCTGAGCCATGCATATATGCATACAAGGCTTTTGGTTGGTTACCTCCCACCAACCCACCCTCCCCCGCCTTCCCTCTGAGATTCCGCACTCTGTTCCATGTTTCTATGTCTCTGGATCCACTCTGTTCATCAGTTTATTTTGTTACTTAGATTCCACATGTGAGTGAGATCATGTAATATTTGTCTTTCTCTGACTGACTTATTTCACTTAGCATGATACTCTCCAGGTCCCTTCATGCTAAGTGAAATAAGTCCCAAGGGTAAGAGATTCTTCTTTTTACTGCTGCATAGTATTCCGTGGTATAAATGTACCACAGCTTTTTTATCCACTCATCTACTGGTGAGCACTTGGGCTGTTTCCAGATCTTAGCTGTTGTAAATTGTGCTGCTATGAGCATAGGGGTTCATACATTCTTTCTGATTGGCATTTTAGGTTTCTTAGTATATATTCCTAGAAGTGGGATCACTGGGTCAAATGGCAGCTCCATATTTAATTTTTTGAGGAAACTCCATACTGTTTTCCATAATGGCTGCACCAGTCTGTATTCCCACCAGCAGTGTACTAGGCTTCCCTTTTCTCCACATCCTCACTTGCATTTGTCATTTGTTGAATTGTTGATGGTAGCCATTCTGACAGGTGTGAGGTGATACCTCATTATCTTTTTTTAAAATATATTTTTATTGATTCAGAGAGGAAGGGAGAGGGAGAGAGAGACAGAAACATCAATGATGAGAGAGAATCATTGATCGGCTACCTCCTGCATGCCCCCTACTGGGGATCGAGCCCGCAACCAGGTATAAGCCCTTGACTGGAATCGAACCCGGGACCCTTCAGTCCCCAGGCTGATGCTTTATCCACTGAGCAAAACGAGCTAGGACTCATTATCGTTTTAATTTGGATCTTTCTGATGATCAGTGACTTTGAGCATTTTTTCATATGTCTCATGGCCATCTGAATGTCCTCTTTGGAGAAGTGCCTATTTAGGTCATTTACCCATCTTTTAATTGGATTGTTTGTCTTCCTTTTGTTAAGTTGTATGAGTTCCTTATATTAATCCTTTATCAGCCGAACCGGTTTGGCTCAGTGGATAGAGCGTCGGCCTGCGGACTGAAGGGTCCCAGGTTCGATTCCGGTCAAGGGCATGTACCTTGGTTGCAGGCACATCCCCACTGGGGGGTGTGCAGGAGGCAGCTGATCGATCTCTCTCATCGATGTTTCTAACTCTCTATCCCTCTCCCTTCTTCTCTGTAAAAAATCAATAAAATATATATTAAAAAAAAATCTTTAATCCTTTATCAGATGTATCATTGCTAAATATGTTCTCACATACTGTGGGCTCCCTTTTCATTTTGTTGATGGTTTCTTTTGCTGTGCAAAAGATTTTTATTTTTTTTTAAATATATTTTTATTGATTTAGAGAGGAAGGGAGAGAGAGATAGAAACATCTATGATGAGAACCATTGATTGGCTGCCTCCTGCATGCCCCCTACTGGGAATCGAGCCTGCAACCCGGGCATTGAGTCTGCAACCTGCATGTACCCTTGACTAGAATCAACCCAGGATCCTTCAGTCCCCAGGCTGATGCTATATCCACTGAGCCAAACCAGCTAGATCCAGGAGCTTTTTATTTTGATGTAGTCTCATTTGTTTATTTTCTCTTTAATTTCTTTTGCCCTAGGAGCTGTATTGCTATGAGAGATGTCTAAGATTTTGCTGCCTATGGTTTCCTCTAAGATTTTTATAGTTTCATGACTTACATTTAAGTCTTTTATCCATTTTGAGTTTACGCTTGTGTATGGTATAAGTTGGTGGTCTAGTTTCATTCTTTTGCATGTATCTGTCCAATTTTCCCAACATCATTTTGACTGTCTTGCTTCCATTGTATGCTCTTGCCTCCTTTGTCAAATATTAATTGAGCATAATGGCTTGGGTCAATTTCTGGGATCTCTGTTCTGTTCCATTGATCTATATGCCTGTTCATGTACCAATACCAGGCTGTTTTAATTACGGTGGCTTTGTAGTATAACTTGAAATCTGGTATTGTGATTTCTCCAACTTTGTTTTTCTTTCTCAAGATTGCTGCAGCTATTCTGGGTCTTTTTAAATTCCATATAAATTTTTGGAGTATTTGTTCTAGCTCTGTGAAATATGCCATTGGCATTTTAATAGGGATTGCATTGAATCTGTAGATTGCCTTAGGTAGTATGGAAATTTTAATGATGTTGATTCTACTAATCCATGAACATGGTTTATTCTTCCACTTGTTTATATATTCTTCTATCTCTTTTTTCTATGTCCTGTAGTTTTCAGAGTACAAGTGTTTTGCCTCCTTGGTTAAGTTGCAATGGTAAATGGGATTGTTTAGTTTCTCTTTCTGAGAATTCATTATTGGTGTATATAAAAGCCATCGATTTTAGGGTGTTGATTTTGTATCCTGCTACATTACCAAATGCATTTATTAAATCTGGTAGATTTTGGTGGAGTCTTTAGGGTTTTCTATGTATAATATCATGTCATCTGCGAATAATAAGAGGTGTACTTCCTCCTTTCAAATTTGGGTGCCTTTTATTTCTTCTTCTTGTCTGATGGCTATGGCTAAAACTCCAGTACTAAGTTGAATAAGAGTGGTGAAAGCGGACATCCCTGTCTTGTTCCTGTTCTTAGGGGAAATGCTTTTAGTTTTTGCCCATTGAGTATGATGTTGGCTGTAGGTTTGTGATATATGGCCTTCATTATGTTGAGATATGCTCCCTCTATTCCCACTTCGCTGAGAGTTTTTATCAAAAATGTGTGTTACATTTTTTTTTATTTTTATTTTTTTTAAATATATTTTATTGATTTTTTACAGAGAGGAAGGGACAGAGACAGAGAGCTAGAAACATTGATGAGAGAGAAACCTCGATCAGCTGCCTCCTGCACATCTCCCAATGGGGATGTGCCCGCAACCCAGGCACATGCCCCCGACCGGAATCGAACCCGGGACCCTCCAGTCCACAGGCCGACGCTCTATCCACTGAGCCATACCGGTCTCGGCTCGTGTTACATTTTGTCGAATGCTTTGTGCTATTGATATTATCATGTGATTTTTGTCTTTCAATTTGTTTCTATGGTGTATCATGCTTATTGATTTGTGAATATTGTACCAGCCTTGCATTCCATTCCTGGAATAAATCCCCATTGCTGGATGCGATTTGCTTAGTATTTTGTTGAGGATTTTAGCATCTATGTTCATCAGGGATATTAGTTATAATTCTCTTTCTTTGTAGTGTCTTTATCTGGTTTTCTAATTAGGATAATGCTGGACTCTTAAAAAGAGCCTGGAAGTGTTCCTTCCTCTTGGATTTTTTTGGAATAGTTTGAGGAGTATAGGTATTAGTTCTTCTTTGAATGTTTGGTAAAACTCCCCTGTGAGGCCATCCGGGCCCAGGCTTTTGTTTGTTGGGAGTTTTTGATACTGCTTCTATTTCATCAC